AAGCACCCTTGCTAGGACCAACAAAGCTCTTACAGCTCATCTCATACATCATTACAGGTTGTAAATACAATGTTCAATATCTTCTACAAGTGAAAACAAATCATTCAGCACAAAACACCAAATTATTGCCTCCAAAACACTCTACTGCTGCAACTAGGGTTTGAGGGGTAAAATTGGAATTTCCCTTCGAGATCAATTCACCAGTAGCTTCCACAGTCTTGACTCACTGAATTATTCATGTTTATAACTTTAAAAAATCAAGCATAGCATGAATATATCAATCAAGGTTCAGTCTCAGGTCTTGAGCAGCACACTATTATGCTGAAATAGGGGTTTTGTAAGGTCACAATCAGGCACTGTCTAAATTTTGCATCATGGTCAATTTTAACAACTGAGATTCATCAAAATAAACTTGGTAGCACATAGATAGTCCATAACATAGCTAGCCATAACCATTTTGTACTTGAATCACAGCAAACAGCAGAAAATCAAGCTTAACAACTGATCAAAAGTCCAAAATTCATTTCAGCATGTTTCAGTTCAAAAACAGGTAGTGAGCAAATGTGAAAACATTAATTATACCTGTAAAAGTCTTCAAAACTGACAACAGTAGCAGGGAACAAAATTTCACTACTCAAACCAGCTCTTTCATCAGCAATTTCAACAGTAGCAGTATTGCAGTAGGAGGAATTCACACAGAAGATGAGTTAATCAATTTTCCTAGCTTGGAATCATCATCAATTAGCTCAGAAAATATTGATCAACATTTATTCTTGAGAGTTCTTGGCTGCAATAACAATCTCAGTAATCTTTTTTGGCTTCACTTCCTAGAGACTCTTTTAATAGCATATATAAAGAACAATGCAAATCATTGGCTGCATTTCATCTCAGCTCTAGCTGTCACCTTTCAACCAATGATTATGCATGGGCCCTACTGACATTATCTCAGTGAAAGGACAATATTACCCTTGATTCCATACAATACAGTGACACCTTATGCACCAACAGAAAAGCACCATATAGGTGAGGTACACTAAAGAACATTTCTTTGCTTAGCCTCTAAGCTCTGCAACATCATAGGAGGAGGACAATATTTCAGGACCACCACCACGTGTCACACTCTTGACTATACCAGATCAGCTCAGAAACCACCCATGCACCAGCTGTATATACCATGCAATACACTACATATGTTGAGGCTGTATTAATCATAATATAGATTAAGGTACTGCTCTTCAGTGCAATGCAGCTGAATAGGCAAACGAGACTTAATGGAATACATCAGAGAAAGTACTAAACTGCCCCTGTAAGTACCTGTTGCAAAATCCTTATATACTGAATTTTGCTGTAGACATCCAATTTAGCTAAATGAGGAGAGAAGAATCTGCCACACTCATGTAAATGACACTGCTGCCCCATAACATATAATAACCCACAATGCTGATGGACAAGCATTTAAACTCACTGAACCAACACCTTTTTATTGCTTTTTGACATTAACAAACAAACAAGTCTTTAGAGAACCATAGGACCAACAATCTCCCCCTTTTGCCTTTAATGACAAAAACTTGATGTGAAATGAAATAAGACCTCAACCATGGAAGATTAGATAATAAGGATAATAAACATAATTCCACCCAAAACTTATAAACTGATAAGAATAGCTTAACACTATCCTTATTTCAGTCCTTGTCTCCCCCTTTTTGACATTGAAGAGGAAAAGGGGAGGAGGACCAACAATGTGAGGTTCAAAAAGGTGGGGGAACAACCCTGAGAAGAGCTCTAAGGGTTGAGAATCTGTGAGGAAGAAGTGGTTTTATCATGATATCTGCAATTGATCCTGAGTGGGAAGATAAGTAATATCAAGTAAGCCTTTTTGAACTTTATCTCTGAGAAAATGATACCTGATATCTATATGCTTGCTCTTCCAATGTAAGGTGGGGTTTTTACTGATGGCAATGGCACTTTGATTATCACAAAAGAGCTTGGGAGGCATAGAGAAGTGAAGTCCAAAGTCTGTCAAGGTAGACTGCATCCAAAGCAATTGTGAGCCAGCCTGAGAAACAGCTATATACTCAGCTTTTGAAGTAGATAAAGAGACTGTGTTTTGTTTTTTACTGAGCCAAGAGACAACATTAGAACCAAGAGTGTAACAACAACCAGATGTACTTTTTCTATCAGGTAAAGATCCACCCCAATCAGCATCTGGAAAGGCAGCTATAGACATTGTAGATGAGTAGGTGTAGTGTAAACCATAAGAGATTGTACCCTTAATATATCTGAGAATTCGTTTGGCAGCTTGAAGATGAGACATTTTTGGATACTTTAAAACCTTGCTACCAACCCTACTGAGTACATTATATCAGGTCTTGAGGCTGTGAGATATAGTAGACTCCCAATGATAGATCTGTATAGTGTTGAAGGAACTGGCTCGGAAGTACAATCAAGTGACAGCTTGGTGTTGGGACACAATGGTGTTGAAACAGACTTGCTATCACTCATGTTGAATTTCTTAAGTAACTCTGAGGTATATTTCTGTTGTGAAATGAAGATCCCTTTGAATGTTTGAGCAATTTGCAAGCCTAAGAAATATATGAGAGTACCCAAGAGTGACATTTCAAACCTGGTCTTCATGAGATTGGCAAATTCTGATGCTAAAAAAATGTGTGATCGACAAAACATGATGTTATCTACATAGATTTGTAGAATCAGAAATTGTTCTTGATGAATTCTGACATACAATATGTCATCAACCTTGCCTCTATAAAAGCCTTGTTCAATTAGGAACTGATGAAGTTTTTCATACCAGGCCTTAGGAGCTTGTTTGAGGCCATACAAAGCCTTACTCAGTTTAAATACATGTGAAGGATATCTAGAATCTTCAAAACCTTCAGGTTGCTCTAGATAAACTTCTTCATTTAGATCTCCATTCAGAAAAGCAGATTTGACATCCGTTTGGTACACTTTGACTTATTTGTGACATGCAAAGGACAATAGCATTCTTATAGACTCCATTCTGGCCACATGAGCAAAGGTTTCATCATAGTCAATACCAGCTTGCTGTGAATAGCCTTTATAGACCAACCTTGCTTTATTCCTGATAATAGACCCTTTTTCATTCAGCTTATTTCTGTAAATCCATTTAGTGCCAATTACATTCTTATCTGCAGGCCTAGGAACAAGTGTCCAAGTATCATTCCTGTTAATCTGATCAAGCTCTTCTTTCATGGCTACAACCCAATCCTCAATCTTCTGAGCTTCAAAGTAGGATTTAGGTTTAATAGAAGACAACATTGCAAAGTGACTGTATTCTTTACCATCTTCAGCTTCTAACTCAGTAAGTAGCTTCTTACTTCTTGTTTGAACTCCAGCCTTTGGTGAGCCAATTATGTTTTCAGCTTGAACTTACTTCTGCAACACTGGATAAGTAACTTCCTTTAAATCCTCAGGGTGAGTTACAGAAGAATTGGTTTCACTTGAGCCAATTGAATTACAACTATCCTCAGATATAGTCAGTTGAGGATTCTCATCAAATTTCACATGGATTGATTCGACCACTTTAGAGGACCTAAGATTATAGCATCTGTAGGCTTTGCTTTTTGTAGAGTAACCCAAAAATATACCTTCATCAGCTTTTGAGTCAAACTTCCCCAGGTTATCAATGTGATTAAGTACATAACACTTGCTGCCAAATATCCTGAAATAGTGTACAATTGCAGGCCCTCCATACCACAGCTCAAAAGGTGTCTTTGTTGAGTTTGGTCTAAGAAGAACTCTGTTTATAATGTATACAGCAGTGTTCACAGCTTCTACCCAAAATCCCTTTGCTAAACCTTTTTCAAGCAACATTATTCTCCCCATTTCTTGTATAGTCCTGTTCTTTCTCTCCACAACTCCATTCTGTTGAGGTGTAGCAACAGTAGAAAATTCCTTCTTGATTCCTTTGTCATCACAATAGTGTTCAAATTCTTTCATAGTAAACTCTAAGCCAAAATCAGACCTGAGTTTCTTCACAGTACAGTTTCTTTCATTCTCCACAAGATTAACAAACTTGATGAAATGAGTAATTGCCTCAGACTTTTCTTTTAAAAAATAAACCCACACCATTCTGCTGAAATCATCAATGAGGAGCATGAAATACTTACTTCCACCAATACTTGTGGTTCTGGTAGGACCACACAGGTCCATGTGTATCAAACCAAGAGCCCTTGAGGTGTTAATCTCTTTAGAGGGAAATGAGACTTTGGTTTGCTTACCTTGCTGATATGCCTCGCAGAGATGATCATCCTTGAAACTGACCTCAGACACCCCTTTGACAGCTTTCAGCTTCAGAATCTTGGACAGGTTTTTTGAGTGAAGATGTCCTAACCTTTTATGCCACAATTTAGCTTCATCATAAGTTTATTAAGTTGCATTGAGTGAGCTATCTTTCATCAGTGACAGTATACACATTCCCTGAAGATCTACATGCTGAGAATAGAACTTGTTTTTATTTAAGATCAACTACTTTGCATCTTTCTTTATTGAAGCATACTTCCTTTCCATTGTCACACAATTGACTCATACTGAGAAGATTATGTTTAAGTCCTTCAACCAGTAGAACTTCTTGCATTTCAGGTAATTCTTCAATCTTGGTCACAGTACCAATACCCACAATTTTAGCCTTTTGATTATCTCCAAATATAACATTTCCACCATCAAACTGCTTTAGAGAATTAAACTTTGAACTATCACCAGTTATGTGTCTTGAACAACCACTGTCAACATACCATTTATCCTGTGAATTACAAGCTTTAAAAGTTGTGTACACAAGAAGACTCACAGAGTTCAACTTCTTAGGGATCCATATCATTTTAGACTTTACCAATAACCCTTTATCCTTGGCTTTTTGAGCAAGAGTTAAGTCAGACTTCTTCACATACATCTTAGTGATCTTGTAGTTTCTCATGGCTGAGGTGACAAAATCTCCTTGATTGAAACTTACCTTGTTGTCAAGAGGATCAAGTTTTTATGATAGGGAACTTGGCATACACTTCACCTGTTGTAGCTTTAACAAAAACAAACTGATTTTGTTTGATCTTTGCTGCTGAATCACACACATAACCAATTCCAGTCTTCCCAATTTGCTTGGTAGATTGCTTCCAAATTTCAGCCATCTTCAAAGACCTTCCTTCAAGTATAAGAGACAATTCTTCTCTGCACCTCTTAGTAGACCACTGAGTGTTAACCTGAGACTTAAGCAAACCTTGAAAGATAAGAGAGATTAAGCACAGGGTTGATAACTTTAGTTTGAAGTGCTTAATGAGAATTTGTCTTGACTTTAGCAGTTCTGAATTGAGCTTTCTAATTTGAGACTTCTGTTGATTACACTTCACTGCAAGTCTTTCACATTCTTCCAGAATCTCCTCAATCTCTACATCACTGTCTTCTTCAACTTTAATTGCATCTTGTGGTGCTTCAAGAATAGCCATGAACAAGCATTCATCTCCTTGAGTTTCTTCAACTGTTTCTTCCTCTGGAGTTGTTTCCCAATCAGACAACAATGCTTTCCTTCCAAATATTTTCTTGTTGTTTGGTTCTTTAAACCTTTTCTGAGGCTGTCCTTTAGAAACAGGACAATTGGACACAACACGACCAAGTTTTCCACAGCCATAACAGGTAAGATTTTGAACCTGAGACTTCTTCTTAAACCTGAATTTTCTAAATTTCTTAGTAAGGTAAGCCACTTCATCATCTTCAAGATCATCTTCAAATTTAGAATCCGCTTCATCAACAGCTTCTTTGGCCTTGAGAGCTGCTTCTCTTCTGTGTAGGGATGGATGACCAATTCTCATCTCATAAGCTGTGAGTGAAGCCTGAAGTTCATCAATCTTCATGTTAGATAAGTCTCTATCTTCGAGAATAGTAACCTTAGCATTGTATCTAGAAGTAAGAGACCTGAGAATCTTCTTGCATACATCAGAATCTTTAATGTCTTCACCAAGGGCTTTCATGTTGTTCACAAGATCATTAATTCTGAACATATATTCTGCAACTGTCTCTCTTTCTTCCATTTTACAAACTTCATATTGCACCTTGAAGAGTTGAATCTTGTTCTCTTTTATAACATTATTTCCTTCATGAGCAGCTTGAAGAGAGTCCCACATTTCCTTAGCTGTTTTGCAATTTTTAACTCTTGTAAACTCCTGTTGCTTTAAGGCATAAAAAAGAACATGTTTCGCCTTCCCATCATTAGCTATAGCTAGCTTATCTTTAGTAGTTGGATTCTCAGGATTCAGAATAACAACACCATGTATAGCAGCATGCCACACATCATAGGATTGAGACATCAAAAAAGCTTCCATTCTAGTTTTCCATGGGTCATAGTTAGAACCTTCAAATCCAGGAGCTTTGTTAATAACTTGGCCTTCATCCATAGCTAGGATCAGCTGCAGGTTTGTTAGAACCTTCAAATGCAGACCAAACTCTGATACCAATTGTTGAACCAAGAGGGGGGTGAATTGGTTAAACTTTCTTTTTATAAGTCAGCAAAGTAGGTAGATAATACACATTCAAGCATTAACACAGATTTACAAGGAAACCCTTCCAACAAGGGAAAACCTTGGTTCTTGGCTTTAGCCAATAAAGTCCACTACTAGTTGTATGTATTTTGTTACACACTCAGCTGTCTCACCCTCTGTATACACCCAAGCACAAGAATGAAAGCTAGTTTTCACAACCAATACATACACTAGATGATTTCAGCACACATACACACTCCCCTTGTCCTAAGCACCCTTGCTAGGACCAACAAAGCTCTTACAGCTTATCTCATACATCATTACAAGTTGTAAATACAATGTTCAATATCTTCTACAAGTGAAAACAAATCATTCAGCACAAAACACTAAGTTACTGCCTCCAAAACACTCTACTGCTGCAACTAGGGTTTGAGGGGTAAAATTGGAATTTCCCTTCGAGATCAATTCACCAGTAGCTTCCACAGTTTTGACTCACTGAATTATTCATGTTCATAACTTTAAACAATCAAGCATAGCATGAATATATCAATCAAGGTTCAGTCTCAGGTCTTGAGCAACACACTACTATGCTGAAATAGGGGTTTTGCAAGGTCACAATCAAGCACTGTCTAAATTTTGCATCATGGTCAATTTTAACAACTAAGATTCATCAGAATAAACTTGGTAGCACATAGATAATCCATAACATAGCTAGCCATAACCATTTTGTACTTGAATCACAGCAAACAGCAGAAAATCAAGCTTAACAACTGATCAAAAGTCCAAAATCCATTTCAGCATGTTTTAGTTCAAAACAGGTAGTGAGGAAATGTGAAAACATTAATTATACCTGTAAAAGTCTTCAAAACTGACAACAGTAGCAGGGTACAAAATTTCACTACTCAAACCAGCTCTTTCATCAGCAATTTCAACAGCAGCAGTATTGCAGTAGGAGGAATTCACACAGAAGATGAGTTAATCAATTTCCCTAGCTTGGAATCATCATCAATTAGCTCAGAAAATATTGATCAACATTTGTTCTTAAGAGTTCTTGGCTGCAATAACAATCTCAGTAATCCTTTTTGGCTTCACCTCCTAGGGACTCTTTTAATAGCATATATAAAGAACAATGCAAATCATTGGCTGCATTTCATCTTAGCTCTAGCTGTCACATTTCAACCAATGATTATGCATGGGCCCTACTGACATTATCTCAGTGAAAGGACAATATTACCCTTGATTTCATACAATACAGTGACACCTTATGCACCAACAGAAAAGCACTATATAGGTGAGGTACACTGAAGAACATTTCTTTGCTTAGCCTCTAAGCTCTGCAACATCATTGGAGGAGGACAATATTTTAGGACCACCACCACGTGTCAAACTCTTGAATATACCAGATCAGCTAAAAAACCACCCATGCACCAGCTGTATATACCATGCAGTACACTACATATGCTGAGGCTGTATTAATCACAATGTAGATTAAGGTACTGTTCTTCAGTGCAATGCAGCTGAATAGGCAAACGAGACTTAATGGAATACATCTGAGAAAGTACTAAACTGCCCTTGTAAGCACCTGTTGCAGAATCCTTATATGCTGAATTCTGCTGTAGACATCTAATTTAGCTAAATGAGGAGAGAAGAATCTACCACACTCATGTAAATGGCACTGCTGCCCCATAACATATAATAACCCACAATGCTGATGGACAAGCATTTAAACTCACTGAACCAACACCTTTTATTACTTTTTGACATTAACAGGCAAACAAGTCTTTAGAGAACCATAGGACCAACAATGAGAATTAGAAAATTGATTTCCTTGTAATTGATATGGTCTATATCCTTGGGAACCTTGGCTTTGCATCGGAGGTGGAACATACTTCCCTTAGAAACCACGTTGGGAAGGGTTTGAGCCTTCTCCTTGGTTTCTCCAAGAGAAGTTCGGGTGATTCCTCCAACTAGAATTATAGTGATTGCCATAAGGATTGTTCCCTTAATTAACAAAAGCTGCATTGACTTGTTCATGATGCTCACTTTGCACATGTCAATGGGGACAATTGGAAGTAGAATGTAAAACACTTGAACAAGTCATACATGATTCATTGGATGCATGATGGGAATGGTTAGGGATAGAAGATACTTGATTTGTCGAGTTTTGGTTAATTAAGAATTGATCAAACCTTTGAGATAAAGATTTCATCTCTACAGCTATTTCATTAGAATGGTCAACTTGATGTAAGCCAACACTCTTCCTTCCACTTGAATTCCTACCATTTTTAGAAGATAAAGTTCGATGCAAAGAATTTTCACTCATGCTCTCATAAAAACGCCACACTTCATCCTCATGCCTATCAATGTAAGAGCCACCCATAGAAGCATCAACCATGCCTTTGTAATTATCGGATAAACTCTCAAAGAAATATTAAACTAATTGCCATTTGGGCATATCATGATGTGGATACTTCCTAAGTAATTCATTGAATCTTTCTCATGCCTCATGGAACGTTTCCCCATCCCCATGTGAAAACTCTTGAATTGAGGTTCTCATGGCATTGGTCTTAGAAACGGGATAGTACTTTTTCAAGAACTCTTGTTGCGTTTCTGCCCAAGAAGTTATTGAAAAAGGCTTAAGATTGTTAAACTAGTATTTTGCCTTGTCTTTAAAGGTGAATGGAAAAATTTTAAGCCTTAAGACCTCTTCCGGCATGTCCGTGTATCTCACGGTGGAACATACTTCAAGAAACTCATCTAAATACTTGTAAGGTTCTTCACTTGGAAGTCCATGATAGATAGGAAGCATTTGAATGGTTTGTGGTTTGATCTTATAGTGGTGTGCTCTAAATAGTGGCAATTGAATGCATGTGGGTGCATTGTATTCATTAGGCACATAGTGATCTCTTAAAGCAAGGGGAGGATTAGCAATTAGAGGTGCAACATAGGCACCTTGATTGCCTTAAACTATGGGAGGTTATGGAGCATACATTGGCCTTGGCATTCTTAATGGAACTTGGCCTTGTTGTTGTGGTAGGTGAATGAATGGCCTCGGCATGCCTAATGGTACTTGCATGTTATCATGATGCACATTGGGGTGGAGGATACCTTGTTGGTCTATGTGACCAAGGTCCTCCACATAGTCCTCATTATGTACTTCCATTGTAGAAGTAGATTGACTAGAAGTTCCTCTTCCCCTGGGTTTCGAACAATGGATTCAAGATGAAAATTTAGAGGGACAATAGTAGGTTTCAATGATCTACGACCATGCATGCACAACAAAACACAACAAGCAACAAGCAATGAACAATCACTTCACCTTCGCAACAAATCAATTATCAAACTTCCTCCACATACAATGATCCCAAACTCCCATGCTCTCAACAATATGCAAAGAATAATAAAATTGCCTCCATGTGGGCTCATGATTTATCTAAGAATTGAAATACAAGCTTCCACGCGGGCCGACGATTTAACTAGAGATTGAGTTAAGAAAGAGCTCACAAAGGGTCCTTTGGCACTTCAATTCAATTTTCAATTTTAGCTGCAAATTTTTAGATTTTAGCTTTTTCCTTGCTTTTGCGTAGCTCCTTAAAATGCTCCTTTGCTCACCTTTTAGCTTCACCTAGTCAAACAAGAACCAACACAATAAGTAACCAAAATGAAAATGAAAATAAAGGAAAGAAATGATCAAAAGAGTACTAATTCCTAATTGATTCCACAAATACACATTACCTTCAATCAATCCCCGGCAACGGCGCCAAAAACTTGGTGTGGTGCAGCCACGAGCACCACAAAAGCTTGCTAAGGAGAGATGTTAGACTAAGATGAGTGTGGTCAAGTTTTACATTTATAATTTGCTACTACTACCTTTTTATTAAAAATGTAGTTAGGGCGAGTAGGGATCGTCCCAAGGGATTGGTGGGTCGTATTAAGTTGTGGAATCAAGATTAGGGTTAGTAGGTCGAGTGATCAAAAGATTGGTTGGTGATTGAATTACACTAAGATGCAATTTAAATTAAAGTAAATAATTAAATGCAATAGGGAGAAAATAAGAGAGAGAGATCTTGGGATTTAGAGATCACCACTAAGCATAGATTTTTTACACCCTTAATGCATGATTAATGAGGGGGAAAAACATGTATTGCAACAACAGTGTGTGTGTGTGGTTGTTTCAACCAGCATGGATGACTAATTAAGTATATATTGTCTAAGTAACATGGTGGATAGCACAATATATCAAACTAAGCCATTAATCCTTTCTTTAAGCTCACAATCCAAACACATCACAAGGTTAGAGACATATGCTACTTGTTTTCATAAGTATGGAACATCAAACAACAAGCATGGATTGTCCTCCCATTTAACATCTGAACTACAACTACACTACAATTAAGCTAATGACATGAAATTAAACTAATTAAGTTAAGGGAGAGGCACAATCCATCAAGAAATGAGTATGAACCATCAAATAAATCACAAGAGTATTCTATTAAGCACTATGCTTGATAATCTCTAGATCTATAGCATCAATAGACGTAGACATGCATCAATAACACAAGAAATAGAGATAAACACATGAACATCTATTCTAGCGTACATAGACATATGGATAGAATGAAATGATCAATTGGAAGCATTAAATCACACAAATCATTGAATAAATAAGATCTGTGTATATAAATATGTCAAAACATGTATCACAATACAAATCCCCTCAAAAATACATAAATCAAGATGTAGAAAGCATGCTTAGGGCTAACTTTAGCCCCAAGAGAATGTCTAGCCACTCATGGATGGTGTCCTCCACCCCTCAAGGGCTAACTCCATGGTAGAGATTGCTCCTCCTCTTGGTTGATGGAAAAACTCCAAGCTTGTGTCTCTAGCCTCCTCTCTCTTTTCTTCCTCACTAAGAA